AATGGTAGTTTGTTGTCAATAATTTTCAATTCCTGCTGCTGGAAAAAAATTTTTTTCACATTTCGAAAAATAATTATTCATATGCGCGACAGAGAACAAAAACTCATTGTCATAACTTATTTCAAAGGTCTGTATAATTCCGCTCATCGAAGAACATTTAACAGAAAGATTGCCGATAGCTTCGCTTTCTCAAAACAGCTTAAAATTACACAGGTACCTATTTTTATGGGCAAGATCAGTGGGGGAAATCCACTTTCTTAAAGCTTGCTTGTCTTTTCTTCGAATATTCATAAGGAATAATTTCGATTTTGGAATAAATTACGCGTCAAGCACAGTATCTTTGTGCATATGTAACGATAGGCATACTGGACGCGAGCTGCAGTTGTCTTAGAGGTCACTTTCCAAGCTATTTTAATTACAGCCAACAAACAAAAAATAGTAATTTGGAAATTTTTTGATTAAAAAAAAATAAAAAGAACATTTTCTTTCAGCTCTTTCTTCAGGACATCGATTGCCTTTACATATCCTGTCACTTGGAAAATCTCGTCAAAACGTTCCTTTAATTTTTTTGGTTCATCAAGCGGCCTGCAATAATAAACTTTTCAAATTTCTCAAGCAAGAAGAGATTACTTAAAAACATAATGGCTAAGAACAAACCAAGATGATTCCTCCTGATGACAGAACACAACATAGTCCAATATCGCAGCAGGTAAGCCGAGAAGATTCAATATCTGTAACAGTTCCCGTCAGAGGAAAGGAATTATGGCCAACAATCTTTTTCGTGGCAAACAATACTAAAAGTAAACCCCAGGCTGAAATGTATCAATGCGTTTTCGCGCAAAACTGCAACGGTCAAATCGTAACAGCGTGGCTGTTTTCTGCGTTACAGTTTAACACGTGGATACATGTTGGCTGTTTTGGCGTTCACCTACATATAGGTTGGGATGGTAGTGTTGCATTGCGGGGTAGCGTGAAATTATTACTTGCATTTTTACCACTCTTTTGCATGAAGCCCGGTCGTTTTTCCAGTGAGCAATCTTTCATCGAAAAATGCAAATTTGAATATGCACAGGATGTCGAAACGGAAGGGTTACGAAATCCACAAAAAGCACTTGCTTTTGTGTTCGAAATAAAATCCAGTATTTCTCTTGTCCTCGCGCAGGGAATTCGATCTCCAAGCTATATTCAGATCGGACGTGAACACAGAATACCCTCGTAAAGTTACAGCCTCGCAGCTTATGCGGCAAGCGAAATAGCTACTTCGCCACTAATATCTTTGAAGCGGGGTAGGCCGTGGTGCAAGTGCAATTCGGAACTCGTTTTAGGCATATGCTTTTCCATATGACTAATAAATATTTCGATAAAATTTGAGCTGCTGCTTCCCCACAAATATTCGAGCTGGCACAGTGGCAGCTGCGAATTTTGACGTGACCGTACACGCGGTACAAACATGCACGATGGCTGAATTTGAAATCTCTAGATCATAAATGCAAAATATCCCTGCAAAAGTTTCGCTTTTCTACCTTATTTGGTTGCCGAAATTGTTTACCACTAAAGAAATATGCACATTTTTTCGGCGGTCAGCACACAGTATCTAAACCTGCATGAGCGATGATTTTAAAACGGGAGGATGACACATAAGATGGGAATACTGTACCAAAATTTCAGCCTCCCAGATTTCTTGGTTGCTGAGTAGATAGTCAGTGACAAAGTTCACTCGCTTTCGAACACCCACACATACATAAACCACTCGCTTCCGAACACACGCACATACATACGGCTAAACTCTTGACAATATGAGTTTTTGCTCACTGTAGCAGCGATATAGCGAAAGTGACCGGCATACTTCTTTTTTGCAGTCGATCACTTTTGACGACAAGCTTTTCCATTCGCCATGCTCATTCTCAATCGCAATCGTACTCTCCTCAGATTTATTGCTCAGCTTCCCCTGAAAATCGTTACCTGTACTTTTCAAACCAAAAATGCCGAGTAAAAAACGATGCTTTCGGCTGTTCTTTTTTTTTTCTGTTTAGCGTCATATTCAAACCGTCATTAAAACTGTCTATATTGAACAGGTTACCGCAGCTGCTTGACAAAAATGAGTAAAATAGCTCAATGCGCAATAAGGAACAGGGTCGTTTTTTTTTATTTGTAAATTGTTTTTTTTTTTGCACATACTCGAATTTTAGTTTTCTTTGATCAAAAATTCATGTTTCTGAGTGCAGGGTGCACTATAGCAAACATAACATCGTTTATTAAAATAAGAGAAAATATGGAAAAAAAATTTTGCCTTTTTTTTGAAAACTTTTCCTTGCCAATCAAAAAGTCGAGGCGTATTTTGAAAAAAGCAAAAGTTATTTTTCAAACCAACAAAGTTGTTTTCTGAAGTGACAGACAAAAAATTGTGGGGGAAGACGGCGTATGCTTGCGCGACAGGATGTCATTTTACCTTGGCGCCTTTGAATTGCATCATACGTCTGGTCACCACGCAGCATCTTCCGCGGATGTCCCGGAACTTCAACTTCACCGATGCGTCCACCCGTGCTTTATCACATAGCTGAAAATTCACTGCTAAATATAGCTCGAAGCCAATTCCAGCAGACCAGAGAGAACTACATCAGGGGAACACTGACCCGAATATCGTGGATAAATGCCTGCAGATTCCCCTTGGGCAGCTCACCCGTTGTGACATATTTCAGTGCCTCAATCACTGTGGTTTTGCCAGCACCGTTCGGTCCACAGAGGATGGTCAGTGGCGAGAGGAACTCAACCACAGCTGCATTCTGCGGTCCCACTCCAACACTCCGGATCCCCTGCAGCTCAACCGTATCCAGCATCGACATCTTCACTGCATTATCCTGCAAACCCAATAAATTGCACGTGAACAGCAAACATCTTCCCGTAAAATTTCAGCTTTCTGGTTTTTCTGGTTCTCGAGCTAGAAAGTTTCCCACTAAAAGCACCACGTTTTCGTACGCGAGACTTAAACATGCGTGAAAATTTGTGTCACGCTTCTGGAATAGCATTTGGCCACAGAATCCACTGGCAACATTTCAACATTAAAG